GGGCTCGGGGGGCTCCGATGCCAGTGAGACCCCAGCCCCAGCCGGCGCCCGGGTTCTCGACACCGTCAGGGGAAAGAACTCAGGGTGGGGTCGGAGGAAGCGAGAGGCAGGAGGCGAAGCGAAGGCGCAGACCCGCCGCGCTCCGCGGAGCTTGGGTCTCCTCCTTGGGGGCGGAATAATCTCTAGGGATTCTGGAAAAGAAGGGGATTTCAGGGACACCCCGGCCCCCGCCGTGACTGCCTCCTTTCTCCCTCGTTTGGGTTTTTGCCGGGAGGGTCATGGACGTGTCCCTCGCACGGGGTTTTGGCCATTTTCTCGCCCTCATTTGGGGTTTTCTGTTGTCCTGCGGTTCCTTTGCCTCGGTCCTGTTCTAGCTGTTGTTTGGGTTTTTCCATCCTCCTGCAACCACCCGTGCAGTTCCCAATTCCCATCTCAACGCCACCGCCCACCTGGACACTGCTGGGCTCAGCCCTGGGCCGGCTTGTCCCTGTATCTCACGCTCCCTGACCCGGCCCTCATGTCCCTGTCCTGACCACTGGGTGCAGCCAGAGACGCCGGAGCCCAACACATGCTCGGAAGCCTGCTGCTCCCACAGCCTCCCCAGCACAGGTGAGGATAACTGCACCCGTCCTGCTGCCCAGGCCAAGAACCCTGGTTTACCTCTGCCCGTCTTCACCCACACTCCATGCAACCCACGGACAGGTCCTGTGGCTCCACCTCCATCCGCCCACACCTCCCCCTGGAGTGTTGTGAACAGACCACCTCCACCCCCAACATTTAAGGCAGACCCTGCACTCTGCCCAGAAGGCAGTCATGGCACCCAACTCCCTGAGGATGGGCCAAAAGCGCTCCTCATACAACAATCTCCACCCGCAAACCCTCTCCTGCACCTGCCTTGGTTCCCTGACCTCATCTCCCCGCTGCCGCTGCCACCTTCCCCTACCCCACTGCGGCTACCTGGCTTCCTTGCTGCTTCTAGAACTTTCCAAGCACACTCCCCTGCCTGGCTTGCTCTGGCAGCATCATTGTCTGAAGCACTTTTTCTCAAACCTCTTCGGGGCTTGCCCCTCACTCCTTTGGCGTTTCAAATGGCCAGTCCTCAATGAGACTTCCTCAGACCCCCCTTTCATGCAACAGGAAACCCTGGCTGCATTCCCACCAGTCCCAGGCTCTGCCTTACTTTCCTCCGCAGCGTTTATCAGCCCTACCTGTGCATCTTTATTACATCGTTACTTGTTTAGGCATCATAGGCCTATTGATTGTGGTGTGTATTTATGTATCAGAGACACATTTATTTACTTGTTAGAGATGGGGTCTCTTTCTGTGACCCACGCCAGAGTACAGCGGCAAAATCTTATTAGGTTGTTGCAGAAGTGATTGCGGTTTTTGCTTACTTTCCAACCAGCCTAATAGCTCACTGCATCCTCGAACTCTAGGCTCAAGCCTCGAACTCCTGCCTCAGCCTCCTGAGTATCTGGGACGACAGGCACGTGCCACCACACCTGGCACACGTATACGTATATTTTAGTATAATACTAAATAAATACTAGTATAAATAATATAATAGTATTTGTGCTATTGCGCTGTGTATCACATACATATGTGTTCTGTATGTAGCATATATAGATATATATAGTATTATACTATATATCATGTAGATGTTTGTCTTCCTACCTAGAATGCCAAGTCTAGGAGGACAGGGTTTTTTTGTGTTTTGTGATATGAAGAAATGGAGTTTGAAAGTGGATTATAGTAGGAGATTTCCCCTCGGAAGTGATGGGGCTGAATCTAGAGTCTCCCCCACCTCCCCACTCAGACCGGAGTCTCAGCAGCCCAGTAGGGTTGAGCAGAGAAGACACCAGGATTCAAGGACTGTCCGCTGCTGCTCCTGTCCATCAAGGCCCTTGTCACAGCGCTTTCTGCAGTCAGCCTGCCCCCTGAGACTCACTTTCCTCATTGAGGAACTGGGGGCCACCATCCTGCCCTGTCAAAGTGGGATGCTGGAAAGACTGTGAGCATCGACCTGGATTGCACCATGCCTGGCCAGGTGTAATAGAAGCCAACAGAAATGAGTGCACAGGAGAATTTATCATCAGTGCATGGGGGCTGCTCACCCGCCATGTGGTCATGCCTCCCACCCAGCACGGGGGTTCTGCTCTGTCTCTACCCTGCCCTAGTCTCCCTTCCCAAAGATCTCAGACCCTGGACACCTCTGGGCCTGGGCCACAGCCTCAGGGATGGTCTCATTCCTAACAGGGAGGGACGGTGACCTGCCTACCTTCGGTCTACAGGGGCACAGTCCTGGGGGCTGCTGGGCCACACTGCAGATGGGGGTTGGGCAGAGAAGGGTCATTGTGCCCCAGGTAGGAGCTCTCACCATCATTATTGTGGTTTGGGTTGGTTGGGGGGTGTCTTCAAGGGGAATGGTTGGAGGGGCCCAGGAGAGGAAGGTGGGTGCAGTAGTGGTGAGGCCGGGGGAGAAGGAGTCCCCCAGAGTATGGAGAGAGGGGCAGATCCTGGACCTGTCCTGGACGGGGCAGGGTGCCATGTCTGGGCCTCCCACATGCCTGTCCGGGGCCTCTCGGCTCAGAAGTTTCCCAGAAGCTGAGAGCAATGTCCTCCCGCCCTTGGAATGGGCCGTTCTCTCCATAGGGACTTTGACTAGGGTCTTCCACCCTGCTGTGGCCACCAGTGCCTCAGAAGGTTGAGACGAGTTCCTTGGGAGATTCTGGGTGGCCGTCCAGCACTGGGTGTGCGATGACCAGATCCGGCTTTGCTGTCTTCACAGCCTGAAGCTCCTGTAGTGACTGCTCACTCAGCTCCACAGAGGTCAGCCTGCAGGCACACACACAGAGCAGAAGCAGGGTCAGCGGTGGGGGAAAGCAGCCAGGGCTTTCGGGCAGGGCTGTGGGAGCAGCCAGGGCTTGCGGGCAGTGCTGTGGGAGCAGCCGAGCTTTGGTCAGTGACGGGGCTGTCGGCTTAGCTGTGCCACAGACACTCAGGGACAGGCGGTGTCAGTTGAGAGGTTTGTCAGAGGCTAGGGGAGGGGCAGAGGCCAGGCCTTGGGGGTGGCAAAAGGGTATTGGGGCCACTGGCCCAGGTTGCGGCCATGGGCACCAGACAACAGATGAACATTTGGTCAGGCAAAGTGGTCAAGGCCCGGAGCTGTGGCCAGGGCTTCAGAGGGCAGGCCTGTCAGGGCCGGGCTCCCAGGTCGGTGTTTGAGCTCTGTCACGTGGGAGGTCCCTGGGAGAGGCTCCTCTTCAGGGTTCAGGGGAAGCCCCCAGGCACCCACCCCCACCTGGGTTGACGGGTTGTGTCCCCAGCACCCTTCCCACCCCTGCCTCCACCTGAGGGTCTGCAGGCCGCATCCCTGGTGCTGTAGGACTGCACACAGGTAGGTCACCATGGGGGCAGGCAGTTGGCAGCCGCTGAGATCCAGGGTGGTCAGGGCGGGGCTCTGCCGAAGCATACCCACCAGGTACTGGAGCCCTTGCTGGGAGCTGGGCAGCTGTACCCTGTGGGAGGGCAGACCTCAGGAGCTGCTGGGGTGGTGGTGGGGGCATCCCATGGTCCCTCCCAAGCCAGGCCTCACCTGACCGTCTGCACCCTGCACTGGGGCCAGGCTAGGCCCTCACTCAGCATACGCAGTCCTGCCTCACTGAGCCTGTTGTGGAGGAGGCCCAGCTCTGTCAGTGCCGGAGCTGCCCTCAGGGCCTCAGAGAGGTCTCGGCAGACTGCGTCAGGGACTTTGCAGTGGGACAGCCTGTGGTCAAGAAGCACATAGATTTACCTGTGGGCACCTCAGCCACCACACCACCTCCAACTGGATAAACTGCCCGCTCCCCAGCGGCCCAAGGTTCAGCTGAGAGATGTGTTGGCACCACATCCCTCGCTGGACCCCACAGAGCCTGCCGTGCCCTTTGTCACCACGCACCCCCGGGAGCTGTGTCCATTTCTCCCTACAACACTCTCAACAAGCTCTTTGGTGAGCTGAGACGTGTTTCAACATGTTTGCCGCACGATTGTCCACCAAGCTGAGGTGGCCGACTCAGTTTATTTCGTCGGCCAGTCCTGATGGTTGGGGAGTTATGGTGTTTCTCCTTTTTTTTTTTTTTTTTGCCATTATAAATAATGGTGTGCTG